ATAGTGTAAAATTTAGAAAATGAAAATAATGTGAAACATGCGATTGAACTAAAATCGGGACTCTCTCCATGGTCTGCCCTCCGAGAGTTAACTTAAAAGTCCTTAATTCATTTAAATAGGTATTATTAATGAAAGCCTGACGAGAAGCTGAACATGATAATAAGAAATTATTAGATATTGAATTTCCATTTTGGGTCAATTTGCTCTGAATGGTGCGCAAGGGTTAAAGGGTTAATAATGGCTGTTAAAGTGTGTTATACAACACGTATTCAACAACGATAGTCGCTGTGTTAAAACCGCTGTACACTGTGATCCACGATTACCTTCTTTGAAAAAGAAACCGGGTCACTCTGATTAATTGAAGTCTTTTGCGAAAATCGTCCACGGGTCCCTTCTTTCTTTATTTTCACTCTATTAAAGCGGCGGGTAATTAATGTCGCGATATTCGTTATCGGTGCAACGTCACGGAAGCGTTATCGTTCTGCAACGGAGATGAAAATAAAAAGAAAGATACATAGAACGTTTCGTTGCATATCTATAAGGTATTTTATGTATTTCCTTTTTTTTTTTTTTTTGGAACTTGGTTATTAAATGGTGTGCGATTCTACCTTAACGGGTTACGTTGCGGTAAATAAAATAACGAGACAGAAGGCGGACGTGGAAAAAGAAGGCAGGAAAGTGGGACGGGAAGTACGTCAGTACTCATTAAAAACTATCGCAGCGACGAAGGAGAGGTAAAAAATGGAACGATTCCGGGGCTTCGCGTACGAGCATCGGTGGCACGCCTGCTTTTCCATACATTTTTCGGCTTTTTACCGTTTATTTTTCCCTTTTTTTTATTTTCTGTGAACGACCGTCATTGTGCGATACGATTAAAACCGGAGCAACCAACCGCGAGAACGCTGCGTTTCGCATAAAATATACAGGGTGTCCTGGTAATTATGGTGGAACTGAAAAGAGGTAAATTTCCAGTTGAAAAAATAAGTAAAAATGGTAGGATAAAATTTTGTTATACGTGGTTTCCTTTTCGAGTAATTTGAGTTAAAAAAATTTATTAAATATTTGTAATATATTTAAAGAATTTTCTCGAGGACGAACCTGTATATAAAATTAATTTTATTTCACGTATTTAAATTTATTTTCTCAAAAGAAATGAACTCTTTTTTTAATTGTACCGTTATTGCTAAGACACCCTGTATACATCTCGATTCAGTGAGCTTTTTTCCCGCTTTTCAGCTTCGCTGGATGGTGAAGCGGGGTTTCATAACCACAAAAGAAAAATGTAAAGATACTTTCTTCTTCTATCTCAAGATCGTCATTTCGTTCGCGGAGTCTGAATAAAATCTTCGTTAGTTAGGAAGCAAGTACTGGCTAACAAAATTCAGCCACAGTGCAATGAAAGCTCGTTCAATTTCAAGCTGACAATGAGATCATTTTCCGCGAGTTCTGCTTCAACAATTGCGAAGGATTTTGTGCAGTGATGACTGTCCATTAATGGAGAAGCTTACAGTTTCTATAATCTACGTTGCAAAATTATCAACCGACAAATTATAACTAACGCATAAAAATAGAATAAAGCATAGAATTTTTCAATTTCAGGTAACAGAAACAGGCTGCTATAATTTTGCAAATTTTTAACAAAAATGCTTATAAAAATTCAGGTTATTATTTCAAACATACCTGAATATAAATGCAAAACTTTGGCTATGTTAGTCTTATGGTTCTTCTTGAATAAATTCTCAAAAATCGTGTCCAAGGATGGGCATCGAAACTTTGTACGGAAACATGTAAAACGATTTGAAACTGTATGGTTTATTTTGTCGTTGGGCAGGATTCGATGTTCGCGCTGGTTGTTGGTAGTCTGTTAGAAAAACGGGCCACCTTCTTGCCCCAGAACGTGAGCGTGCACGCGGATTTGCAGTGCAACCGAGAGAAAGAAGCTTGTTGGCGCCTCGAGCCTTAATTACCTCTGCCGGTCTTCTGAAGCCGCGCTGCTGCCGTCTTTGGCCCCGTGACAATTATTATTATGCGGTACAACTTGTGCACTGGCGCACACCTATCCACGCAAACACACATCAGAGGACATTCTTGCCTCTGATCCCGCTGCTGTGTTCACCGCCAGAACCTGGATGGTGCTCGCGCGTGCTGGAAACTTCAGCCTTCCGAGCACGGTATTCGACAGCGTTCTTTTCATCCTTCTTTGGATAATTTCGCAAAAATATCCGAGAAATTCTAGCGAGCGTACGTGAAAGCGTCGAGGGAATCTCGCAAAGGAAGAAAGGACGAGCAAGGATCGCCTGGTCCCGAAAGTAATTAAGGAATCTTTACGTCCGCTTTCACAGAAGAAGATGCCATCCTCCGAAAAAAAGAATTAAGAATGTCGGATTAAAAGACAACCGTTTCGTTTCATTTATTTCTCTAAATTCCAAACTTTTATCATCGGAGCAACGTAAATTTTTACTTTACGAACACTTCCTTTCGCCGTCGAAACATTCAATTATCAAACGTATTTTTCCATTTGTAGCTGTTCGAGTTGGTTGTAATTGTTCAATTTACAAGCGGAACGAGCTAGACTCTGATAACTGGAAGAAATCCGATAATCGGGTACAGGTTGTTCGCGAATCAGTGAATAATCATGAGACCGAGATGATCGAACCTGGTCTTTCCATGAAATCATAAGGTTGAACACGTGACGAAGGCGTCGTCTGAAAAAGCCGAACTAACTTTTGCAGTCTAGCTCCGGTGCATTAGCGTCGGCACAAGTGGTCCATCAATATTAATAAGGCGGTAACTGGACAGCGGATGTATAGAGATGGCCGATCGGATAACCGATTCGATAAAAAGAGACTGTAAGATGCCGTTCCTCTCACCCGAGGGGAGAGAATACTTATCGTTTTATTTAGCATTCCAGGTAGGATCCTTCTTCTTTTTTATGGTAACGTGAAAGTTCGATGACGATGGGCTGATTAATACTGTGGCGCCTAGTTTGCCAGGGATTTGCATTTAATCACGAGTAATTCAATATCACGATTAGAAAATCTTCATGAACTACTGTTGATAACTTTGATAAATAATCAAGTTTTTATTATTGGATTTATATCATTCACGATGGATCCTTTTTAATAAAAATCGAACAGATTTGCGAATTTGCAAAGGGATATTAATATTTCTTCAAAAAATTTAGTAAGGTCGTTTAGGTAACTAAAAAGTAGCAGCTCGTAAATCACCGTCGCGTCGTCCATTCGCAGGATTACTGGGGACATTAACTTCCTCAGGTTTTTACAAAGGAGCAATTACGATTCAAGCGGAACGGAGAGTGTCTGGCGATGGTATCGGCGTCGAAATTAGAGCTTACACGAAATCACGAAGCGGAACACGCGACAGGAACCAGCATGATTCGCAGACGAGACCGCAGTCCCTTGGCACGTTGATCCTGGCACTCTCTCTCTCCCTCTCGGTCCATCAATATTAATAAGATCCCAACCGGACAGCAAGGACACGGAGATGCCTGATCGGTTGGCCAATTTGCCTGCTAGTTAGCCGAGCTCTTTTCCGCTACGCCTTTCAGAACGTATCGTTCTGTTGGTAGGTGTCGTAAACCGAGCCAGGATCGTTTGCTGCATTAATGACCATCACGTCAGTTTGGAATCGTGCCCGAGGGAACAGCTACGGACAGGGCTTAAAGTGTCGTAATAGCTGCACCTTCTCCACCAACTCCATAAACACTGAACGGGGTAAAAGACGATAAGTTCTTCTGCAAAAACGTGTCGTGTCGCCTTCGGCGTGCTTCTTACGAGTCTCTTAGTGCCAGGTTATATATCTTTTCCTATCGTTAACTGGTGCTCGTTGAAACAGAGTTCCTCTATTTGCTTCATTCTGTAACCTCGCCTTCTTTGCAGGCATACTTTGAAATTTGTTGAAAAATAAAATTCGCAATCACGATATCTAAGGATATTTATTCTAATGGAGAGATGAATTTATTCAAAAATTTGACGCAGATGTGTGGATCTTGGAACAATATGAAATCCGTAGATGAATTTCGCGAACAGCAAAGAGCAAAAATAGAAAGAGATACTGGAAAAATTAGATTTGCAATTGGCAATCTATCCTAACGATATCTAAGGATCTTTATTCTAATGGAGAGATAAATTTATTTAAAAATTTGATGCAGACATTGAGTGCTTCTCGGTCGATCTTGGAACAATACCGAATCCGTAGACGAATTTCACGAACGGCAAAGAGCCGCAGCTATGGTCGAGTCTCGACAAAGTGGTGCATCGTCGGTACGAAATTAGCTTACGGATTCGCGATAAGCGGCTTACGTTTCGAGCGGGATAATCCTTCAGTCTGGTCGTTCGATTCTTGATCGTTCAGCGAGCGCTTTGAACCAGCGCAGCGGCTCGCACGGGTTCTGCCTCTCTTTAAGAGCATCGCACACCACCAGGAATAACAATCTCGCCGCTTTAATCGGCGCGGAATTATTATTTCAGGCCAGTGACCAGGCACGGTCAATTTGAAGACAGTTTCTACTATTCTGGGCGCAGCTGCGCCCATCTCGATCGGTCAGCGGCAGATGGGCGAATCGGTCGCGATATTCATAAATCACGATATCTCGAGCGATTCTGATTAACCTCGTTTCGCGCGTGCACTTGGGATCGCGATCCTTTCGAGTTCTATGAACCGGCAATGACATCAACTTGTTACATGTCAGTCTGTGGTCGAATAATAAAAATGAACAAGAATTAAGTGTTGGACAATTTTGGTAAAATTAGAGCACCTGATTCACTCTCGAAAAATATCCTAATTACATCATCGATGATTACATGTTCGATTTAACCCTTTGGCTTCGAATGACGCGTGCGGATAGAACTTTGACTCGATATGCAGGCTCAGTGAATTCGATCAACGTCTTAGAATATCAGTCGAAACGGTACTTTGAATCTAGCCGAACTAAACGGTAGCAAATTAGTTAATGGATTCTGGTAGGATAAGGCACTCACCTCTTTCCCTTTGATATCTCTGTATCGAACCCACTTGCCCAGACGTGGTCGCCAGTACTCGAGCAGATACGCTTCTGCATACTCAACGCCGAGACCATTGCCGAAACGACCTTGGGTGGCGGTAGCTGTGATCAAGTGAACCGTATGAAGGTCGATCTCAAGCCATTCTCGAGCTTCTTGGGTGATCTGATTCTTGGGACACCATGCGCCACCGAGATTCTCCACTTTTAATCTGAAACAGATGGTAACATTTCACGGTTAGTTACGCTGCGCTTTCAACCTTGAAGGGACAATTTGCAAGGGTCCGTTTAACAATTTGTACCTCGTTGGAGAACGTGTTGATACTATGGACTAATTTTTGCGTTTTTATATTTTTAGTATGTGAAATAGTATTAATATTTCTATCGATCTAAGGTTCAAAGAGCTAACCCTTGTAAATTATCTTCTTTTTCCTTTTTTCTTTTTTAATTAAATGAGAAAAGATTTTCCGACTAGATATCGATATCGCAACGAGTATCGTAAAGCAAATAACTTTTAATATTCTCATTTTTCCGTTAATAAATTCGAGCACTTTCCAGTGGAAACTTCTTAGATCGAATTTGCGCGTTAAATACACGCTCGAAGCGGCATAAAACTGAAAACCAAGGAAACTCCGTATAGCGATAAGTATATAAATGATGCGTGAAACTTTGGAAATCACCTGTGTCACGCGAGCCTTTAACTGCCCTTCCAGGTGGCGCGATAAAGATGCTCCCCGAAACATTTTATACCCTCTACGAAACGAACTAATAAATGCTCACCGACGCGAGTTTTTCATCGAAAATCCACGGAAGGTGGGAAAACTTGAAAACTCTTCAACTCGTCTCCCGTTCCACGAAACGAAGCAATTTCAATCGTCATTAAAAAACAAACAGCGAGCTTAGCCAAGGAACGAGGGGGTGTAGGATTGCGGACAGCTCATTTAAAATTAAAAACGAGCAAAATAATCATAACACCTTAAAATCTTTTCTCCCTCGCGAAACTTCCTTACCCTTGGGAGCAGCTGCCCAAACTTTCAACGCCTCTGAAGCTTTACGTATTCTCCTCTTTTTCACCCCCGTCTTCATTCGTTGCGAACAATCGGCGAAACGGAAAGCACGGAATTTGTCGACGTAACGAAACGTGACGAAAATGATAACCCCCTCCTGAAATTGGACAGTAAACGACACCTCTGTACGAGAGGGAATCCGAAACTTTTCAGAATTGTTAACAAGAAAAAGAAGAGGACAAGAACTTGACACTTTGACGATTACCGTTAGCTACTTGAATTGTTGAACTATTTTAAAAAATAATTATTTTCCACAAATTCGGAATATCGTAAACGGAAAATTGTTGCGCATCGAAGTTACACGTGATCCGGATTAAAAGGTGCAAAAAATCGTCCATTTAATATGTCCAGGTTGTAGCCGGGTATCGGTGCTCGGCGTGCTTCGGTTTTAATTTTTGGGGGTCGAAAGGAAGGCGCGGATAGCTCGGCCCGTAGTCGTCATGAATAAAAGATGAGGCGCGAAGCGCCTTCCCTAATTGCGTGGACCGTTTAAATGCTTGGCTAAGAGAGAAGCTTCTGCTGGCTCGTAACGGCACGGTATATCTGTGTATATAAGTGTCGGTGTATCCTTTGGAAGGTGGCTGCCGAACAACGCAGGATAAGGGACGACGAGAGGAATCGGGGGATGGCAGGGAAACGTCTTGGAGGTTTAAACGGGGCCTCCAGACTCGAGTTTGTTTTAGCCTCGTGCATTATTCTTCATTACCGGGATATTTGGAGGCGTGCCTTAACAACGTGTACCCGAGGATATTTGCGTTATCCTTAATTGTCGCCGGCGAAATCGCGTCCTTCTCTCTCGATTACGATACGGATAATTCGATTCCTCTCATAACTAGGGGAGAGACAGGGTGTCCTACCGTGCGCCCCGAAACTCGCAATCTTCGTGCAATTTTCAAGATGAAATTACGACCCCGTAGACGGATTCACTGCTTAGTTACGCCGATTTCCATCAGTAATTCGTTTTACCCTCCTTGCGAAACGAACACCACCGGCAACACTTCGTTAGAGCTTCATTTTTTTCTCTCTCTTGCTGGACAATTATTATCGCAATACTGTGCGACGGGTTTCTAAGGATTTTATGGTTAGTTTCTTTGGCTTATTTTCTTGATCAGTTTACGGTAGGAACGAAGGGACATCTGATTAAAGGTATAACTTGATTCTGTGACAAACGAGTATTATAAATTTGATCATTAGCGATATTAATACTAACGAGCATTTAAACAGAGATAGTTAAAAGTAATTCCTAGGGATGTTCGATACTTATCCAATAATAAAGTTTAAAACAACTCTCGTTTATTTCTAAAGTCAAGGAAATAAGAAATGCAACAGCTGCATCGATAGCAGGCAAAGTATTAAACCCATACATTTTGACTCCATTACAAAATTGAACTGCTGATACACGTATCCTTTTATTTCCACCAAATAAGGATCCGAAATTTATCGAAGAAGGAACCCGGAGTCAAATCGCCGTTTCGTATCCGAGAGAAGCCTCAATTAGCCCGACCAATTGCCGGCAAGTCCCATTTACTTAAGAGATATAACGATGACACTTCTATCACTTGGCGAAGGACACTCGGTATCTGTCGAAGAGCGAGGCGAGTTCTCTTTATCTAAACTCGTTTCACCTGACCGATGCAGCTTGTCGGATCGGCTACATAGTGTTTACACGATGCTGCACCGGTAATTTGCAACGAAACGCCAAATTAATGCACGTACACACACGAGAGTGCGAATTTTTTTACGCATCCTGGATCGAATCAGATCGCAGCCGAACGACGTGGCGCGCTAATAATCGTGCTTACAGGCCATCAATGCGAGAATGATAACGCGGCAGCGTTCCCCGGCATCGTTATAACAGTCGAGGCTGCTTTCGAAAGATTTACAACTCGCACGCTGGAACTGCCTCTTTATCCTTAACAACCAGCTCCGACCGACTGGTTTCCTGTTGTTGGAACAACGGACAAGAAGGCGCACCGATACCGGGCTAACGACGACACGGTGCGCGTTCGACGAACACCGCAACAACCTGCAATTCCGACACGGAATAATAGACAAATGAACGCGTAGGTTGAGTTTATGAGGTTGCAAGGATATTAGCGGGTCCGTCACGCGGCCTCGAATCGTATCCCGTAAAACTCCGTGTCCAATGGCGATGGGAGTTTAATGTTAACTGATATTGCTTCGTATTAAGAACTAATTGATATTAAAGCGATTACGGGTGTTCCGTGCTGCTCGGTATGCGAGAAACGAATGTCTGATATAAATATGTTTACGTTTATAGCCTTCAGAAGGAATTTATTTTCTGTTGCCATCGAACGGACGAAAAATGTCTAATCTTTGGCTATAAAATTAATGAGAAAACTTGTCGATTAGTATGGTGAGAGTTTACAGGGATAGAAATTCAAGATTCCATCATCAATATTTTACCTTCTTGAATAACTTGAACAATTTTCACCCCATCCACTTCCTATTCCCATCGACTCACCATCATTTCACGTCCTCCACGAGACGCTATTATCGCAGAAATTATTATTAGCGTCAAGTGCGCGATAACGTCCCGTCACCGAGTCCCTTTTTATCACTCCACTTTTAAGCCGTCGTTTAGCAGGGTTACGTCTGCTCACGGCCTACACCACGTGCCATTTACAGGGACTTTTTTTGCAGGCAGAGCTCGAGGAAAGCATCAGAGAGCCACGTGTGTGGTCCGCGTTGTCGACAAAAAGGACGATCAGGAATCGCGCGTGTACCATAACGAGGGGGATCTTTGTTTCGAGACATCGAAAATCCTGTCCTACGACTGACGAACGGACGGCATTAAATTGAGCGAAACCGAGAGATACCGTGGCGGAGTTTAAATTTTCCATCGCGTTAACCGCTTCGCGGACCATTCTGAATCCGGCGAAATTAGCGGGGACGTGACATCGTCTGCCCACTATCTCGCAGATTGTATTATGCATACTGTTGGTCAGGAGAATTGACGTGCGAGCAGACTTATCTGATTTGTACCACAGATGGAGGTCGAAAAAAAGAGTATACAGTGGACTTTTAATTTTTCGTTTCAACTTGGATAAGTAGAAATACACCAAATTGCTTATTTTACAGAGTCGAACTTTGTAAATAAGGTTTTAGATTTTTTCAGTTCTTCATTAATTCAAAATATAGATCCTATTTTTCGATAATGGTTTCGTATCTGTAAAGGTACACTTATGGTCAAATCAGGCTTCCATGGGGTTTTCTCCCTTCTCCCGTATGCTCCCACGGGTTCCTGACCCTCACTGTGGGCCTTCCCTTCGGCGGTCCCGCGGGGACTGACGCTGGAGGGGAGAAGGCTCCGTATGTACATATAGGTCTGTGATCCCCCCACCACCTTCCACGTTCCCGCGGGAAAATTCGAATTGATATTTACTTTGTTATTCGTACTATTCAGTTATATACTAAATTCTCTAATATATAATAATTAAAAATTATATTATTTTCTTTCTAAATCACTTTTAATATTAATACTGTCAAAATTACAATTTTGAGAATTCCCTTACATGCTTCCTTTACATAGCTGTTCCCCTTAGGGAATACTGATTTGATCGCGAGTATACTTCACCAGTATTTTTGATCAGAAACAATAACAATTTTCATGTATTCCAAAATAGCTGTATAATTTCAAATTGAACACGGTGACGATGAGCCTGCATCACGATCGCAGATATAAAGCTGGATAAGATTAAAGATACATTCTACGTCCCTTTTTCCAGTAAATTACTACTCTGAAAATAAAACTGTACAGCTGTCTGAACGTAACCCAAGATTAAGCAGAAGACACTTAGAATTTTGAATTGACCATCGTGGAAATAAGTGACTACGACTATGGATACCTGGTTTGAAGGAACATTGTGGCCGCACCTTTCTGTCGAGTAATAAACGTTATCGCGATCCGACCCGAAGGGTTTCTCTCCTTTTAAAAGTTCATCGCACTTTTTCTTCGCGAAATCAGGAAAATATTTCCAGCGTTTAACAAACGAATTTCCGTTGATTCTAACTCGTTCACCTCTGTTTCATTTATCTGGAGATGATCTCATTCTCGACTACTGCATCAGGGAATATCAGAGCCTCGCTTATTGAATTCGTTGAAATTTGTTCCCTTGCGATCTGATACGTTGCTGCAAATTGAATTCCGATTTTCGACTGGGTATCAGCGAAACGTGAGCAATAGATAATAACGAAAGACAGGATTTTCGTGAAAGTGTAATTCTTTTTGTTCCAACCCTTCGATCCACGATCTCGTCATTCGACAACATACCCAAATTATTTATATATTTATCTTTTCATATGATATAATACAATTTAATATCAGAAATAGTTTTAATACCCTTCTTTAATCCACGTCAAGGAAGATTGAAAATGTTATTCACTTTAGTACCATCCAACGCAAGTATGTAATTGACTGCGAGTATAAAGCCACGTAGCCCTACGTATTCTTATCTGCGCCTGCTAAATTACAGTGTATCAAGTAATGACTCTAAAAGCCATTACTTGTGTAAAAAATCCATGGTGAGGTGAAATTTGCCGCGTGCTTCGCCACGCGTTAGTACACTGTTACCTCGTATCTCGACAGTATTAATTTTTATACTTATATCGTGTAATGGCAACGTGGTAAAGCCTGACTGTATCTTAATTGAAACCAATATTCGCCTAATAAAAATTGCCTACACTGATCGTAACAGAAATACGAAGCTCTTTCACCTTTAGATTTTTACACGGAAATATTTGTCCTGAGTGGTGAAGAGAAAAAGGATAGAAGATAGAATTGCTCTCGTGGAAAGCGGTAGCGCGATTTTCTCACTTTCTTCAAGGTACATTCACCCCGGGGTAATTTCAATTGAATATATCCGCTGAATCGCAGCGTACACTTTCCGGTTCCAAGGGAAGCTCGCCGCTTACAGCTCACCTTTTGACTTCTCGATTCGTAGCAATTTCTCTGAACAGAAGTCTCGGCCACTCGACGCGTTCTTACGGGTATCTTAATTGCGTCTATTCTAGGAATAACGTTCAATGAAAACGGTAAGAAAAAGAGCGACGGAAGACGCGCACAGCTGCGCGATTCTTAAAGGAAATGAAAAGCCGGGGAATCGAGTCGAGTACTCGCTTTCATACGGCCACACCACTCGAAAATTATTGTGTGTATAGTATTCCATATGGAAAGCGCTCGTTTCATGCTCGAATAAGTAGTTTTTCCCAGATTTTCCTTCCCGCCACGTTTCCGTTCTTCCATCCTTCGACGGAGAAGCGGCGCTGAACGTTCTATTTAACATCACTCTTCCTTTTTCCTCTTCCCCCTTTTCTACTCGTTTCTCCTCGGAATTTTTTATTCGCGTGAAAAGCGTCTTCGGGGATATATACGTTCATCGATCAACCCTCGCTACCGTGCCGTGACCCGCTACAAAATTAAATTATCGCGGCAACGTTACCATTTCAACGGCGCTCTTTAATAAATGACGCTGGAATACCAGTTAATTAAATTACGCAGCGAACGTGTTTGACATTCGTACGAACTTTTCACCCTGTCGACGAAATAACGCTGGAATTCCTTTTTTTTTCCGACCCATCTCCCATACCCTAACTCCTGTCTGTCAGTGAAAACCGACTAACGCTGATATATTGGTCGTTCGATGTATTTTAGGTATGGATCGGTCAGATGTTGTATTTTGTGTTCATATGCTGCAGTCTTGTTCTCAATTTGGGAGTATGGTTAATTGCGTAAACTACTGTTTTGGCTTCACAAGGTAGACGATAGAATTATTGTAAAAAGATTGTAATATTCAGCATGCATTTAAATATTCTATGGTGCATTAGTTATTTTACATCGTTACCATAATAATAAAATTGAAATTTACATGATTATCATAAAATTAATAATATTGAAATTCACCTTATTATAATAGAATTAATATTCAAATTTGCATTACTATTATAATATTGCCAGTATTAAAAATTTTACAAATATTTCTATTCATTTCAATTGATATCGATCAATGGTAGACTAAGTATAATGATTTATTAATTACACCCTTCAATTTTTAATTAATATTGAATTATTTGAACGACTCGATCGGCTGATTGAAAGCGTCTGACGCGAACACTGCTCAAGGGTCTTGATCTTCGTGTCGAAAACAAAACCGCGAATTCGGTGTTTGATTGGTTCGAAATCGAATAGCTATGATTGTAGCGTGTTGGGTTCGGCACGAAATCGCTCATTAATTATTGGCGTTTGCTCGATCCGATTCTGTTCCCGCTTTGGTCTCGGTTTCACAGCTAACGTTATTCCAGGAATTGCGAGCCTGATGGAGGAGGGTGATAATTTATCTTGCTTAGAATGTGATGGAAGGTGTTTGAACAAGAATAACTTATTTCTGTCACAGGATTACTTTACTACTAATTATCGTACCACTAATTATTATCCAAGCTTAATTAAATAAAATAAGTCAAAAAATTAATAATTCAAAATTCAATCACAATTATTAATCAACGAAAAATTTTGACGAATGACATCCTTAAGAACTGAAGAGGTCAGTGATCGATGACAATAATCACCTTTAGTAACGAGAGAGTTAATTAACCAGCTAATCAATGAAGTCTCAAACGGTGTTAAAGAAAATAGCATGAAGTATCATTTCAAGCAAATAATTCTGATTAATCAATTCAGTTGGCCGAGCAATAGTATCCTAATTTAAACATCACTTTATCGCTTCGAGTAATTTTTGTTCCGGGTTGGTGGTCAGCGCATCAAGCATTCTAAGCACCTTCGGCCGGGGTCGCGGCGTATTAAATTAGACGGTGACGTGGACGAGCGACGGAGGCTGTTGGATGCAATGCGGGGGCGACTCGGAGCTCATCAAGAGTCAGAGGCCTATTCAGCCGGTCATTGTCTGCGGTAATGGAATGTATTAATATCGGAGAGCCCGCGGGGCCGGCGAGCGACGCGGCGCGTCGCGTCGCTTCTCTGTTCCTCGTTCGCCGAGCCCGGCTCTAGGTTGGACCCCGGTTCGAGTTACAACCGCGGCTACCCTGGCCAGCGGATATGTCCCGTGGGATGGAATATTCGTATAAACCGCCGTTGCACTGCTACCGCCGCTGAATACTGGACCCTACGCATTAATATCTAAACGCCAGAGACCAGGGTGAGACGGGAGGGTGGTTAAAAGAGGAACAGAGAGGTTTCGGCGCAAGCGCTACCACTGCATCTCGTATTCATGTGCTGCACCGTGGGTTACAAGAGGCGTAACATGACCAACCCTTGCCCTACCAGCCAGGTGTAATATTCTTTCAACATCCTCAGGCCACGTCAAACACCCTTTCGTGGTAATTGTATTATACAGGGATAGAAGGTGCTTCGGTTTCTATTAAAGGTGTTATCACGAGGAACTGGTGTATTTCAATTTTAATTTTATAACTGAAATTTTTACAATTTCCTACGCATTTATTTTCATAGGATACAGCGATTATCCAGGGATTCATGAAAAAACGTGAATCTTAAACGATAAATCGTCATTGAACGAAGATTGCTTTACGACTGGCAAAGAGACGATACGATAGCACAGGTCGATGTATGGTGAAGGATAGATATGGAACGCGGTCTCTGCATGCATTCGATCGGCGCGGAATTATCGAACGATCGGGTGGAGAATTAATTGCACGGGGAGCGGCCTGGATAAACACTCCTCCTTCGAAGGAAGTGTTTCGTGTAAATATTAATTACAGCCGAACGACGTGTGCCACGTACGAAAAAGTAACGTAACATGCGAGCCCGGTTGATTTAATTGCACGTTGTTATCGGAAAATTTATTCTTCCTGGAATATGCATTAGCTGCCGCGATTAGAATTCATCAGCTTTCTCGCGTGCTGCCGTAAATCGAACCGTCACTTTTCCCTCCGTTTTTCGTCTCTTTTTCTCCCTCTTTTTTCATTTTTTTTTCTCTTTTTTTATTTATCCCGACGGTCTGGCTGCGTGTTACAGTGGACGCGTCGCGACGCGACGGCGAGAAAGGTGAAATAGTTGTCGTGCAGTTTCGCATATAAATGGAGGGGAAAAAGGCCGCCGCGGTCAGATTAGAAATAATTACCCTGCCGAGAACGGTCTGCTCTCTTTGTTTACGAGTGATAACGTCTTTTCTATGTGCGCACGCAACACTCGATAAACCGGATTTTACGTATTAACGAGTCGCAGTCGGGGCGACGCGACGCGTTTTTAGTATTCATGCGACCGTGCCGCGCGGGAACCGTCGCGATTAATGAATCCTGAAGTATTAATTTTCATCCCCCGAGTTCCCGGCCGATTAAACTGCCTCGCGTCAAAGCGCTGATTTATTTTCTCGCGTACCTTGTCCTTACCAACGAATCATGTATACTCTCGATCGAGCCTTCCTATCTACCTATCGTCACTTTTTATGAATAATTCACTGAATAATTGGGTACCAGTAAATCGATGCTCTATATTCAACGTTTCTCCTATCACTTTACATATATGCTATAGCTTTGAAACGTTATCGATTGATCTTCCTTCTCAAGCCGATATACTAGCAAAATTGATGACACAGGTAATTAATTTAAATGAATTCGTTAAAGTTCATAGCGATCCTTTAAAATTTATATTTATAATCTACTGTAGTGAATCAAAATTCCTTTCAATTACACAATAACAGCTCTAGCAAGATTCTATGTACCCTAAAATCACTCTGATCACCCTAGCAACAGAACTCCAGCCGGCATCCTAACAACCTTAGCGAAATCCCTCGACCAACCCTCCGTATGGAGGTGCATGCCCACTATTACGCTAGCAGGCTCGTTGGAAACAGCCCTCCGCGTGAAATCCATCGTTATAACGGCGTGTATTCGCAGATATAGAAGCTGGCGTGTTACGTCGTCGTAAAGACACAGAATATACAGAGGGAGAGAAAGAGAGAGAGAGGGAGAGTTAGGGGTTAGCCTGGGGGGATTTGAGTGCGTTAGCCTGGACCAGAGTGGCGCGGTCGATATATCGTTCGATTGCGATTCGATGGCGTACAGAGAGCGCAACAGAAGGCAGCCGATAGATACGAATGACGAATGGTATCGAGGGCAGACTATCGAAATGAAAAAGCGACGCTTACCGTGCTAGCTGTGGTCCGACGTTTCCTGTGTCGAAGGTAGAGCTGGCCGTGATATCCGCGTCCGGGATCGCGCCGGATTCCATGCCGAGCGGCGCGATGCATTGGGCTGAAACAAACGAAAACGTTAGCCAGAAAGGTTAAAGAGCGTCCTACGAGATTTACATAAAGTTTCGAAAGGGAACGGGGAAGGGGTCTGGTATCGATGCCCGGCTCGCTCTTCTACCGGATCATAAACGGCTAAATAACCAGCTAAACCGAGATGAATGCAACGGATAGAGCCGGTTTACGTTCTTGTATATGACCGGGTCTGTTGGTTCGTACGGGTAGCAAGAGTTAGGACGACGGCAAGGACTACCTCAATGTTTTCGTATCTCGGGGACCGATCAAATTGTTTCATGGGGGAACACGGCAGCGTTACGGGGACCGAGTGTATCCTGCTACCAGGAATGGCCTATCTTGATACAATATTGTCTTCGAACGACGAGTATCCGCGTTATTTACGGTTTTCTTCCCGTCACGCGTCGTTGCGCGATCCTCGAAGCCTCGGTACTGGCAACGAAACGCGAGATTCGCCTTCTATGTGACACGACGCGGACTTTTAATACATCCAACGCTTCGTACTGGAATTACGATTCGAACGGTGGCTCGACTATATTGAACTCGCTCCGTGTAGCATCAGAGATTCTATCGATAGAGAGAATGTTCGTGTCGACCGATGAAAGTTGGGTTGCGATTTACGAGGATCCTTTCATTTTTCAACCTATATCAAGTATTTTCAAAGAAAAATGTGCTATCATTTTAAAATAGGGTGAAAACGAAGGTGATTAAATATTTGCAGAAACGAAACCTTGGGGGGCAAGGACATAGTAATAAGTAAACTACCACACCTCTTGATAAAACATTGAAAGAGATACCATTTTCTCCTCTCAAAACAAAACACTTTGCGGTATAGGAAGAACAGGTTGAATTCTCTTAGCGCAAGATCGTTTGATTCTACTAAGAGAATGGTGTCGATTATGGGCGAAGGGAGAATGGAGGTAGCATCGATTGCAATTTATGCATATCGAAGTTCTATTACCAAGTAAAACGAGGATCGGTAAAATTTGCCGGTGCATCGTTTGCCTGAACTGAGGTAGCACAGGGCGAATAACGATAATGCCTAATGCCGGATATCGAGTGCAGGTGCACCGGAACAACGTGATGGGAGGTTGCAGCTTTGTGCCTCGAGTGGCCAGAGACTCCGCGAGAATTAATGGCGGGGAATTCGAGGTTATAACGGAAGGAATCCGCGTTAAGCCATCTAGAAACAGAGTGGGCATGTGGGTGGGCCATTAATATCGGTAAAAGTTTGTACCGCCTTCGGATGAATCCCTCGTATTCCGCCGCTGGATCCGAACTTGCCTTATCATCGCCGAGATGAAATTTCTACAGATTGCTAATTTGTCTCGAGAAATGCAGTTGTCTGCGTTTCGAATCCAGAAACGAAGTAACTTTCCTGCAATTTCATTATTCCTCCTCGAAAACTATCTCCACTTTTCTTTTGTGTCTTCGAAGGTTTCTCGAAGGCTGGATTTCCAAGAGAATAGTTGCGTTGAAATAATTATACGTCTGAAATTCTTTTCGTCCTATTCTTCTAATTTCTTCCTTGCAATCTTTAACTTACTTCGTTCTTTCGTATTCATTTGCGCGAACGTAAAAATAACGCTACAGGAATATCATCTTGAGTTACTCGCTCGGTTTACTCTTCACAGGGCCTATTTATAAATTCTTGTAAACATCGTGTGATTCGCTGGAAGAATTCTTTTGAAGAGATCTAATGGTGTGAAACAGGTAATAACTTCCACGCAGATGGGAATGTTAAACTGTAAGATTCATTGGTAGAGAGAAATCTTCAAGCTACTTTCAACTCTTCTCGTAATAACAATTTTCACATTTTTTTATTCCTCATTTTAAGTAGTTTGTCTATTAATTATAACTCGAGTGACCACTTCAGAGTTAATAAAAACAGACAAAATTGGAAACACCATCGTAAGGGTTGTATCAAATATTTGCTCCTCCTAATTGCGATGTAAATTTCCTGGAAAGTAACGAAAGAAGAAGTTTTCTTCGTCCGGCTACCATTTATCCAGGCGTCAATAGAGCAGAAGTAATTAATGATGTTTTCCCTGAGACGACGCTGACTCTGTCGAAAGGGGTAGCTCGTTGAAAGAGACGCCAAACAAGGCTGACGCGACAAGGAGCGTCTTCGTGAACGTCGTTACGATCCAACAGCTTTTTCGTCATTCAAAATCGTTATTCACGATCGATTTACATGCACGATATCTCAACGTCGGTGGCTGGTGCCGACAAAGGAAATGGATTTTAGCGAAGAACGATCCAAGTTCGTTGGTAGCGGGAGGGTGTCGAGAAGTTGGAGCGCGAGGGGTTGTTAGTTCGGGGGGTGAGAGCCCGATATATCGAGGCTTCATTAATAATAATAGAACGGCGTACTTGATTCACCAGACCCTTTGTCCCCTCGATATAGATTGTTATTGATGCTTACTGGCATGTTTTACTCGGATGATTGATGACCTGCTTGATCGAAGTTTGTTTTTGATATACACACACAGGGGATCAAAGTTAATCAAAGTATTAAAAGGAAGAAAGAAAATAATGAATCATTGTTCGGCAACAAAAAATGATTTGCTACCGGTGTATTATTCGAAGCTAGTTCTAATTGGTCGACAAAAATTCCCTTAACAGTCGGTACTTTCGTCTTATGAAATAATAGCTGTTCCATCGTTTTCGTCCCGAAAATCTGGCGATGTTTTGCTCAGCAACAGGTTCATAAATTCACCGTCTCGTGGAAACGATTCACGATAAGTAGTAAACTGGTACGGAGATATTATATTTTTGAATACGGAAACTTTTAAACGTCCGACGAGTCTAATGAACTGGAAACCCTAATTAATGGTACGAGGTGTTGCATTTTTGCGAAGCACCTGTCGGTTGTTTGCATTTATGAATCGTGCTCCTCTTTTTTTTTTTACAAGCATCGAACCCTGATGGTATCAGGCTGGAAACAGGAATTCGAAGCGTAGATTTCGTTTAAAGAGGTGTCCAAATAATTTCGATGCTTCTGACGAGTGAACTCGTTACATGGAAAAGTATCGTATGGCTGACGCAGACGAATCGTTTAACGAAACTAACTGGGCCTGCTGGATGCTGACTAAGCCACTCCGACATGCAAATCGATGCACATCGCTTTTTCGTACGTACAGAGGTTTCATGATCGAGAAAACGATCGATGAGAGTAACTCGCGAGACGTCGACCATGGAAAATTTACTTGGACGTTTATTGACCCATTAAATTTCAGCGTCCTCGATCGACGACGTCTAAGACGGTTTTCTGCTCTTATTTGATATAAAAGGCACCTTCTTCAACGTTCTGAATAATTTTTATGTGTTTTAAACAGCGTTCCGAACGGAGGAAAGTTTAAATTGAAAAGTTATCCAATCGTACTTTTAGCAAACGATACGATAACGTGCCGTATCACCACCTTGCTAAAGTGTTCGTTAAAATTTCACATTATATCGACTACAATCAGGATATTGAATTTTTTCCATCCATTTCATAAAACCGCGTTAATCAATTTCGATCAGCAGCAAAAAAACTCCACGATACTATTCGGAAAGTTTCGAATAAAAATATAATAATAGCACATCGAGTCACTTAAAACGGAAGTCTGCGGATTCGAGACATTTTTAACTCCATGGTTTTCCCTTTCGATTCGAGAGTTTCCATTAATTTTAGCAGGCAAAAGTTGCCAGCCACCAAGCGCGGTATTTGTATGAAACAAAATCATACAAAGGTTCGTTCACGAGTTCCCATGGTTCTGTCTCTCTTGCGCAACGTACCGAACGTTGTTTAAATACAACTTCTGGTGGAAAGTTAGCGATTCGAAGAGGGCGGGGGGTGCAGAGGAAGCAGGCTTTTGCCATACACGCGGGCAAAGTCGATTCCGGATCGAAAGTTCGTTGACTGGCGGTCAAGCAGCTCTCGCCACGTGTATCACGGTCTAAGCTCGTTAATAACTTATGGAGGAAGTTTCGCGATAAAAAAAAAAACTACAAAGCCAGATTACAGGTTGGATGTATACTTACAGAGGTCTACGGCGGTCGTAGTTGCGGCCAGTGCGAGAAAAAGGAAAAGATGGTGGCAGGCAGGTATTGCCCTTCTGGCGAAGAAACCGAAGCTTTTCACCATAGCTCTCGTCTCGCGCGAGGGCTTCACCCTCGCCCTTTTCTCACCGTGACTCTGGCCGTGCCATTTCTGCCTCGTCAACCTGCAACAAAAAAATGAACAAAACGCAACCGTTACGACGTGGTTAACGATAGCCCGGGGAGAAAGAACGATGACGATGGATTTCGAGAGGAGTTGTTCGGATCGTTTCGTCGAAACGTTCGCGTTCCAAGGTAAGTTCGATGACTTCGTTAGGGAGGTAACTTAAGGGGATATGATAACGTTGCCTCGGGTGCAATGCTTCCCCGAGTACTTTATCGATCGCTTCCTCAACGAGATTTTTTCAAATTTTCGATACTCCAAGTTTCTATGATTCCTAGTACTCGTGAAATATTGTTTTCTTTCTTTTTTTTCAAGACTGTTGTTAGTACAGTTTGTAGGGTCGTTAAAATTTCAGCCCATTGCATAGAGAACGCTTCTTACAGAAGGAGTTGATATTGTTCACAATTTGTTAAATTCATTAAATATTTTGAAGAAGCCCAAATTTTGTTTTGTAGGTAATAAAATAAAGATAATAACGTAGAGCTCAAGCAACTTTGTTGTCACGTATACTCGAAGTTTGCATTTAATTTACCAAGTTATTCCATTTAAGATGAATGGAAAAATTGAAAGAAAACAAAGTTCCTGGAAAAGTGTACATTTCCCTCGGTGTTAATCCGCGTTCTTTTGAAAGGGATGAAAAGCGAACGATGGAGTTTCGTTGACTCAGTGAAGGAAAAAATTTGCTCGCGATATTACGATCGAAAAATTTCCCGTTCCGGTTTGCCCGAAAAAATCTACTGTGAATAAAACAAAGAAAGTAATAACATACGCGCGGGCAGGTTTGTTGCCGATCAAACAAAGATTCACCGGCGAAACAACCCCGAGCCAAGTCGAAAAAACAACGCGCTGAAAATGCTAACTGAAAAACTACCAGAGGCCGTTTTTTCTGTATTATTCGATTTATTTTTATTCCCTAGAAACAATATAAATTTATCGTTTTAATTACGCGTTCAAACTTTTATCAATATAAAGATGATTTTAAATTTATTTCGAATTGAAGAACCACCTCTACAATTAGGATTGAAAAAGTTAACAAATGTGGTAGAATTCGGGTGGTAAAATCGCTAATTCATTTTCCAATCAATTATTTCTAATTATATTCTCCGAAAAGGAGAAGAGAAACCAGCATCGCCGTCTACCGTTCGCGCTCCCTCATTTCAAAGTGTGTATCGCGACAGGTGGCACGGTGAATCGAAAGTTGAAATAATTAATTCAAAATCACGAGCGAGCGTACGAGAGATAGCTATAGATTTATCAGTTCGACGATACACAATGCCTCGCGTAACACGTCAGACGTCGAGACGCGTGTCCCGACGTGGTTCTCTGTTTGCCTTAGGGGATGACAACCAGGTCGGTTGTAAGAAAGGTGCGATCCCCGTGTCTGGACTTTGATGGAGTACGCGCCGGTAATTGCGCCGGAAGTGAATAAATAATGGCGAACGGTAGTAAGAAGTCGCTCGGTCGTAGGCCTCGCGTGCTCTCATTAAACATACATGCGACGACTTGTGTTTCTGGCAGGCTGGAAAATCCACATTTTGGTGCCGGCACGGTATATCCTTTTTTCTACTTTAAAATTTGTGAATTCGTAGAACCGGAGTCGAGGTTGAATCTCCAGTACCTCCTCTACAATTTACAAGTCCGAAGTGGAATCTAAATTTCAACCGAAGGTGAAATATAAATTTCGACTCGGAAAAGAACCTACGATAGGCCTGTTTCTCCGTTTGAAAATTCTTTCAGCACGATTGCCACTCGTTACGGCGCGCTGGAAGTACGCCAGTCTCGATTGCTGATCAAACAAAGTGTTCCAACCGCTTGCTACTACGTCTGTAACAGGCTGAATACGAACTTTCTACGAGCACCGAGGACTTTCGTTCACGGAAACGATGAAATTCGTTCGGAGGGAATGTTATCAAAGGGATGCTTGACCGTGCTCGGGGATTCTCTTGGAAATTTCGAGGCTATGCAAATTTCTTCGATCATCGTTCACCAGGAGAAAAAGTGATCCTCTTATATCGACGTTACCTACCCGCCGGGACGAAACGTTTTCCAATCAATTTCCCGTCACTTCCAATAACGAAATTATTCCTCGGTTGTTTTCTTTTCATCTCGCTGTCACGGCGAACAGAAGATAATAATCGGAGCTAGGACGGCCACGAAACAGGTGCGCGTTGTCTCGTTGGATTAGACTGACTCGTTTTTCTGTCGTAATCAAAAGATAAGAAGAACGAACTAGGAATGTTATAAAAAAGTTTCAATATTTTCATCGATCCATGGATTTATTTGTTCTTTTTCTCAAATGAAAGAAACTGGAAAATTAATTGCAATCTGTATTATTTGACGGATTGTACACGCTTTGTTTGCACGCGCCTCGCGAGCATATGCGTAGCTAGAGAAGGGTGGGTGAACCCCCTGGTGCACCCCGAGGAACGCAAAGGCACTTGTGTTAAGCTAGGCTGTAAGCCGCGAAGGCTTCCCGTGATATCCTAGTTCGACGTCGAATCTCTTCGTTTGCATAGCAATGAGTTTATGCAGATTAATACACGCGAAACGTCTACGAGTACAACGTCTCGTGGGATGTAAAGCACCGGTACGTACACGGATTCGCGAGCGTGCATGCATATTTTATTGGGCGGTGCCGCGCGCTTAAGGATTCTCGATCGCATAAATCCGACACACGCGTCGCGACACCCTTCTCCTCCTCGCGATTTGTCTTCCTCTCCTCCTCTTCCAATTAGTTATAATCCACGGATCCGAGACTTTATCAAACAATGAACGACCGACCTGCTCGCTTCTGCGATCCGACGTAAGCCCGACAGACTACAAAGCTGCTTAGTAAATGATAGAATCGAGATAAATATGGCTACGTCGGCTCGTTTCTTTTCTTTGTCGAATGATATTAGTGCGCTCGAACACGGGCTTAGGATTTTTGTCGAATGATTTGTGTTTCATTCTAAGAAAGAAAAAATACCTGTAATCAACAGAAGAATTTTCTTAACAAAAATCAGAGGCTTCTAAATTAAAATAAAGAATTATATAGATATTAGAATTCGAAGGGAAAAGATTTCGTAAATTATCATTAGTTGCTATACCTTCAAATTTAATTTTTCATCTCCAGACATTATTTAAATTTCTATTTGGAACTTCTTAATTGCTATAATCACGGAAAAGAGAATTTTCCTTGAATTTCGCGAAGAAAATTGTATTCTTAAGCGAGGGACAAGAGCGAAAGCAATTAGACAATTAGTAGCGAAGAGAGTTAGAACTCAATTGGGGTGGTTATCGTAATCAAGCCCCTATATAGTTCGGCTTTGTTTGTCCTCCTGCTCACTTTGTATTGCTGAAACGGTACTGTGGTGTTTGCATCTTGACTAAACGTTCTAATTGTAAGCAACGTTGTTTGCAACCTTCCCTCCGCCCCTCTTTCGCTAACCCGAGATTAAACGTGATTGCGATATCTGTATCACGAATAAAACACATTGTTTCATCGGATAAAATATCATTCCGCTCTGACTGTGCTGTTTTAGCAAGTTCAATGTTCGATCAAAAGAACATTAATCTATTCTTCGGTAAACTTTGTTCGCAATTAAACGCAGCTCACGTAGCGGATACTTTATTGCGAGGGGCGCTAAAACGTAATCGACGTTGCGATACCGGATCGATTTCGCGACAAAATGGTTACCAAAAAAGCTAGTCGTTAGCAACGAACCGTCTCGTTGACCTTAATTACGCGAATGCATCATAAAACAGCTAGCAATACGATGCTACCCTCTAAGAACCCTCCCTAACAAAATACGACCTAAAGATCAATGATCCCATCCAGCGCGAAAAAAAAATTAATTAATTTTCTCTCATTAGAATATACAGAATTATTTTCGACCTCTCCCGTAATCATGCAACCCGTTTTCATTCAATAGATATTCCAATTCAGATGCTTCTCTTGCAACAGAGCAGAGCTGTGATTAAATCAAACAAAAGATAGGCGATGCTCGGAGTAGTCAAAGTAAACAGAAAATAAATGAAATTATTTATGCATGAATATTCATACGATAGAATGAATGTAGTGAATTCGAGCAGAGAAATGAAAGCTTTCAGGGATCGGTGAAGAAGTGATTCTTACCCGTCTCGAAAATATGCGCGAGCATCGAAGAGGGAGAAACACGAGCAGCGTAGTCTGTTCAGACGGGATGTTAATGTCGGTTAATTATCTGTAAAACGCCCTAGGCGGTAGATTCGTTTCCAAACTGGTGTGCTTGTAACGTATGGGAAAAGGCAGCGTGTTTTCTAAAATCACGTCGTCCAACAGAATTTCGGTGATGAAAAAACGCAGTTCGTTTATATACATTTCGAGTTTTATTCTCAGAGGCGATCATTCTACTAATTAACTCTTCTTTGAATTTCCAAAATTCCATAGATGGTATCTTAGGAGCATTAATTTAATTCAACACTTTTACTATGAATATCGTGGAGCCGCGGTGGAATTAACCCTTTAATAGCGGAGCCTGGGTCAATCGTGATCCAAATAAAAAGATTAACTTAAAGTTAAATATGGCATGTAATTTTTAAATAAAAAGATTTCATATATGGAAAGAATTTGAAAAGAACAGAATGAAATTAAAATTGTGGCTCTCTCCATGGTCCGCCTTCCGAGGGTTAAAATAAAATCGATTCTCTTCTATTTTTTCACGTAGTATTTGATCACAACAATGAACGAGCGAATTCTCCCAAGAAAAAAGGACAAAAGAAATCGGGACAAGTTTGTGGTTTGATCCTCGACATGATCCTGGTGTCCTGTTCGACGGCACGCTTCGACGAGTCCGATCCATTTCGCTTGTCCAAAAAGAAGCTGGTTTTCGTGTCATCGTACGAACTTTAGCGGTGTTTCCCTCGTGTACACTGTCGTCGTTTCTTCAAATATTTACGCGTCAAACAGTCTGTCAGAGGCAGGCGACGAAACCGGCAACAAGAGGGACGATCATAAACGTGACTGGATAAAGGTGAAAA